TCCCAAAAAATCTGGAATAATGATTGAACCTCCTCCTCGATTGACCTACAGACTGTATTTTAGAAAATACTTGCTAGACTTTTCGTGGCGTAGAATTCAACTAGGTTGTTAGTTCCCGAGGCTGTGATTTTAGCAAGATCTTCAATGACAGCGTTGACCTGCCTTCGTTGAAGTTCTCAGTGTCCTTGTCAGAAATAGGTATTCTGGAAGAGAACGCAGTATGGAGAGTACTATCATCTGCAACTGGTACTGGTACTGGTGGGGGACGTTTCCACGTCAGCAACTAGTCCCCAATGGGACCTTTTTGCAAACCCCAAGTGTTTTCAATGACTGATGTGGTTTGCTCAAGAGAGCTGGCTAACATCCTTTTCAGGCACCGCCCATCAGCTCTCTTTTCAGAGTTTTTCATCTGCAAAGTTGTGAATAAATAACGGATTCCAAATGACCCCAAAGGAAAAAATCATAAGGTGCCAAATCCGGCAAGCGTGCAGGCCATTCTATTCGTACCCTACGACTAATCTATGAATTTGTTGAATTGAATGACTTGCAATGATGTATAAGATGACCCTTGATTATACCCTATTCAAACTATGAGGGGAATTGATAGGGTTGAAGTATGTATACTGACTTCGACGTCGAATAAAAACGAACTTGTTTTGCTGTTCTTTGTTAAATCATTTCACTGAGAGTTTTCGAAGGCGGATTTAGTCTCAAGTGGTATATTGCACTGAGGCGAATTGAATAAATTAGGAATGTAGATGATATTGGTGGTTCGTTCAACATGATTATTATGCCACAGTTTATGGAAATATGTGTATTCTCTGAACTGTGATTATGCGACGGATATATACAGGGTGATTCGTGAGGAGACTCACATAGCCAAAAAAGATGAATGGAAAGTCAAGACGCGCTGATGTTTCAAAATGATGTTTCATGGATCAAAAGAAGTGGGGGGTAGGGAGGGTCATTTCCAATCAAACTAACCGTATATGTGATTAACTAATTGTTGATGGTTCAATAGTTATTCATGCAACAAGTGCAAAAAGTGAATGTTTATTGGCCTGACGGCCTCGTCGGACAATTTCACGTCGAGTGCAATAAACAATTTTTGCACGAGTTGCTCACAAAATTTTTTCTACGTTCATGCAAAAAGCAAAAAATGATTTATTGAGGTGCGGCACTAGGTACAATTCTGTTAATTGTCAGAATTAATTTAATATAAAAAATGTTTGTCATGATGACAGCACGTTGAAGTAGAATGACACTAAGTGCAATAAAGAACTCCTTTTTCCACAAAATATAGTTCAATAAAGTTCTGCTTTTTGCATGAATGTAGAAAAAAGTTATTAATTACTTTTTATTTCTATAAAAAAATCCATTACACTAAAACTGTAACATTTGTGATTTTTTTTTACAAATTTCATCCGCATGGATGCACCTTTTCCCAGAAATAGTTTTATGACCGATGTTACTTCGTTTCAATAACCTATAGGAAACATGTTGGTTTTTTCCAATCGACTCGAAAAAGGTCTATCATTTTAATAACACGAATTGACGTTTCCATTACTGACACAAACATAGGTATGTATAGCTAGGCAACACATCTAGCTCATCCTATAGGAAATAAAGTGGAACTTTAGCTCCTAGGAACTGAAAAGAATGAACAACATCGTTACGGTTGGTTATATATGGGTTTGGACGCATACCTGATTTGTTTCCGATTTCGGCAGATTTGGCATTTCATATCCATGCTGGAGATATAATTACACCATATTATAGTCAAATATTTCTGTTTTGATCAGGAAAGCCTTCAAGATTCACATACTTGCTTGATCTGTATCTTATTCGTTTTTCTCGAGATGCATAACTTGTTTTTGAATAATCACGGCCAGCAATAGTTTTTTGTCTCAAACAACGATATTGTTTACCTTCATTCGATTATCGAGCCACTCACAGTGGAGTATGGGGAGAAAAAAATAATAGCTATTATTATTGTTAGTATACTTAACTAACCTTACTTTATTCCACGTATTTTTCCTATACCTGGCACTGGCTGCTATTAGAATTATTAGATCTATATTGAAACAACTATTCGTACATCCTCGAATATTGGTGTAAATTGTTCATGTTATAAGAAATACTGATACCTATTTGAAAGAGTGAATTTTGGAACAAGGTGCAACAGATGAAAGGTTCAACATCAGTGATATCAGAAAAAACGAGCACCGAGGGACAAACATTGGCATATTGGGCGTATCTTGATGAAGGTTATATCATAATAATAGTTATAATTTCTAGTTGATGCCCCAGTGACATTTTCAAATTTACTGTTGTAGGTGTTACCGATATTACTCAATGATGAAGTGGTGATACAATAGTTAGAATTAAATTTTTTCAATGGTTTTTCAACACAGCGTAGGTGAACAGTGATTCATTTTATAATGATTTATACCCCGAACGCTTGTCGAAAACATTTCGTTTCGCAATCATGTGCCATTTTTCTAAAAAAAACATAATGATATTCAATTATTCATATATCTGCCCAACGCGTTACAATTTCTTTGAATTGTGGCAGTCAATTTCAGCTGTTACCACTTTGATGATGTCATATTTGTTTCAATGTCCATCATTAAAATGATTTCATAAATAACATACACACCTGTATGATGGCAGACATTGTACTAGGTGTGTACAATTTCTTGGTATTCCGAAGAACAAAGATGTTGAGTGAAATACTTTTCATGACAAAAATTATTCACATTGAAACATATAAAAAACTGGGAAAAATACAAATTAGCGGGCAGTGCATGAGTGTAGACTTTGGACTCAATATAGATGTAGACTTTGGACTCAATATCTCAATAACTATGAAGGGAATATCGAAAAACCGATATCAATATTACGGGTTCGATTTTAGAGAAACCTCAAATGGCACAAATGGAATTTTGATATCTTCATCCGCTTCAGAGATACAGGGAGAAATTGAAAAATTGCTAATTTCGTTTCTATTTCCTGAGTACTTTATGATGAGAGATATTGGATATTTTCAAACGTTCATTCATATAGTATGATGCATAGAATCTGTTGGCATCATTGAACTTTTTATACTGGGTGATAGTGAAAAGGTAAACGACAGCCCGTATATATTGGCAAGTAGGATCATCTCCAGTTATAACACTGGAGTATATTCTCCACAAATGATGAGATTTCTACAAAATTCTCAAACACACGACATGTTTCAATAACACAGTAGCTTCTTCGGATGATAAACTGGTACCATGAACTAAACTTGTCTTGCTTAACTTTTATTTGTCCCATCCTAAAGGATTAGTTACCTTTGGACAAGTTCGATAAACCTTCATTTTCGGAAATTAGGCATAATATCTACATTGAAATTCGATGTACCGGATTACCTTGACAGGGTTGATAGTGAATACATATTATAACCTACTATAAGAAAACAAATTCAACAATGATGAACCATTGATGTCTGATTGATCGTTAAGTAAAATGTCAGAATTCCTGAGTTTGTTGATTTCCAATGATTCAAAATGATTGAGTTTCATTTCTTTATTTTCTACGCGTAAAATTTCGGAATTATCACCAAAACTATGGTTTTCTTCTGATATATGGTTCGCGTATATTGAATTTGTTTTCTTTTTCAAGAAATTCATCTTATGTTAATGAATGCGCTGAATAAACTTACGACCTGTCTGACCAATATACAGGGTGGGTCACGGTAGATGGCACCTCAGACGTTTACGGAGAACGGGACATAAGATCATTCTGAAAATTTGGTTGCTCAAGTAATTGCTCTTGATCTATCGATCTAAAATATTTTCAGCTCTGCGGCGTTGCCGCTTCTATCGAAAAGTAGCAACAACTTCGTTATTTTAAATGGAACACCCTGTATTTTATCGCATTTTCAGATTCTCTCTGGAGAGCTGATTTCATCGATGTATCACACTTGGGGTCTAGCGGAAATGATTACAGAGATATAGGGTGTGAAAAATCGACATTTTTCAACTTAAGGAATTTTTTTGTCGAAACTATTCATTATTGGTCAAAACGGCTCACATGTCCCTATCTCAACTTTTGATTAACTATCTACTGATATTTAATTGGGACATATACCGGGTGATCAAGAATCTGAATTCTGCACCACCCTGTATTTGTTTCAATGTCAGTAGATAGTTGATCAAAAGTTGAGATAGGGACATGTGAGCCGTTTTGACCAATAATGAATAGTTTCGACAAAAAAAATTCCCAAAGTTGAAAAATCTCTATTTTGAACACCCTATATCTCTGTAATCATTTCCGCTAGACCCCAAGTGTGATACATCGATGAAATCAGCTCTTCAGAGAGAATCTGAAAATGCCATAAGATACAGGGTGTTCTATTTAAAATAACAAAGTTGTTGCTACTTTTCGATAGAAGCGGCAACGCCGCAGAGCTGAAAATATTTTAGATCGATAGATCAAGAGCAGTTACTTGAGTAACCAAATTTTCAGAATGATCTTATGTCCCGTTCTCCGTAAACGTCTAAGGTGCCATCGACCGTGACCCACCCTGTATACCTTAGGACAAGATCCAGCGAGTTGGGTTTTTATACCCGTGATTTTTCTAATTTAGAAGTGTTGGCTTTATAATTTTCGATAAACCTTTCCAACGTGTTATTTGTTCTATTATGTTAACTTTAAGTTCTGTTTATATGTAGAAATGAAGCTAATTTTGCAGTTGATGTTCAGAATCAGGTTGAAGTTCTATTATCTTGATCATTATTCTTGATGGTAGGAAGAACTTTTTGAATAGCTTTATTATAAAGAAAAAAAATGGGAAAACTTCACACTCCCACACGCGGGAGGAAATCGATACTCGTCGATACCATTGCTCCCTTGATATATAAATACCTATCACTGTTTTTCTTCATATAGCTCGACTCCATTCCATTGAAGGATGCAATAGAATGCAGTTGATCTGAAATCGGTTTTTTTTTCAGGTTCCACCGCTGACAATATCCTAGGTGTCTCCGAGATCACAGAACTCAATTCGCTATGGAAAATGCTGGTGGCAGAATGTCTGGGAACGCTCTTCCTAGTTGTAATAGGCTGTGGTTCTTGCATCGCCCTGAAACAGCCAGCTGAATACGTCAATTATGTCCAAGTGGCGTTAGCATTTGGTTTAACAGTGGCAACAATGGCACAGGTATATATAAGTCATCTTCTGACCTCTATATCATGGTGTAATTGGGCCTTATTACCATTCAATCCATTCATTCAGTCCGGCCCAGCTTCGCACGGTTGGTGTTGAGCATTTAAAGAAATTATGACATTTGTTGTAGTTGTTCCAATATTCCATGATTGACAAATCATAAACAACATTGGAAAGGCACTACACTAAAGCTGAAATAAACATTAGCTTGATAAAAATCCATTCAATGTGGGTATTGTGGGGATATACTGAATTTGGGACTGATGATAATCTATTCTATCTATAATATTTCACGAAAAAGTTCTGAATTTCACCTTCTTTTTCCTTATTCTGTATTCGGATATACGCATTCACTGATTTACAGTTACTTGCTCTTCTTATTTTGTCATTGAGCACACTTTATACACTCATGATGTACTTCAATGACACATTTTATATAGCAGAATCAAGAGATATGATTTTTTTGGAAGTTATTCATATTCACTGATTAATCATACCAGCTGACAGCCATTTAATTTTAATGAGAAGGAATATTCTCAGATATATTCATGAACACAAAAAAATAGATAGAGATATATATATACAGTGTCGGCATCATATGGGAAAAACTTTTATTAATGTCTTATTTTGGAATTCGAGTTGGACGTCAAGTTTTGCTTAAAAAAAGATGAAAAATGGCCTACTCAATCGGGGTCACGTGACTTTCGCTACATGTCAAAAGTGAAATTTTCTCAAATTAATCGCTGAAAGTAGGTTTATTTCTTCGAATATCGTAAAAGTTCACTTGAAAATGTTGTTTCTATTCCAATTTTACACATGCCATGCTACCTACCTTCAATTACTTATTATCACTGATTATGGACAGAAATATGATTTTCTTCAGAAAATGATAATACCCGCTTCCGAATTCTGTTATGTTTGATGCAAAGTTGATATATCGTCAAGCATATAGAAACGAAATTCATTTAAACTGATCTTTTCAGTACTGAAAAAATTAATTTAAATGAATTTCGTTTCTAAATGCTTGACTCAAACATAACAGAATTTTGATGTTATGTTTGCATCAAACATAACAGAATTTTGAAGCGGAGATTATCATTTTCTGAAGAAAATCGTATTTTTGTCGATAATTAGTGATAATTAGTAATTGAAAGTTAGTAACATGATGAAGCTACTGGTATGAAGTAGTTTTGTTTATTCACAATTTTTTTAATATCACAGAAATTTCGAAAATTTTTAAAAAATATCGAAATCTAAAAAATGTAATAAAAAGATAAAATCCGAGTCATCCATAATCAGTGATAATGTAATTGAAAGTAGGTACCATGAAAAAGCTACTGGTATGAAGTAGTTTCGTGGAATTAACAATTCTTCAAATATTACAGAAACGAAAAATGAAAAAAAAAATCAAAATCTAAAAGTTGCAATAGAAACATTAAATTCGGGAAGCATGTGTAGAATTCGAATAGAAACAACTTTTTCAAGTAAACTTTTCCGATATTCGAACAAATAAGCCTACTTTCAGCAATTAATTTGAAAAAATGTCACTTTTGACATGTCACGTGACCCTGATTGAGTAGGCCATTTTTCATCTTTTTTGAAGCACAAATCAAAGTCCAGCTCGAATTTCAAAATAAGTCATTAGTAAAAGTTTTTCCCATATGATGCCGACTTTATGAATGACACTGTATAAAGAAATATATTGAGAATTCGCATTCTCCATGTGATGAAAATATCATTTTTTTCCCGATTCATTCAACAGAAAACAACTACTTCCATGACCATATGCCACGACGAATATTGAATTACATCTATTGAACAAACACGATAAGAATTTGAAAACAAAATCTCCTGAAGTAGAGAATTTGCATTCTCCTTCATATAAAGATATGCATATGATGTCATTCTGAATATTCAACAGAAAACAACTACTTTCGTGGGTATTTGCCACGTCGAACATTGAATTAAATTTGTTGAATATCGCCAAAGAGAGAGCATGAAAAATCAAAATCCTCTGAAATTGAGAATTGACATCTCTCAAATCGAATAGAATAATATGATGTATTATGATATAAGAATATAACTTACCATTTTTTTTTTATTCATAAATATACACTGTGTCCATAAAGTCACCCCCCCCCCTGGTTAACTTTAGAACGGATGGGATTTTTTTTTCAATATTTTTCTGCTTCAATGGTAGTTTCAGTGCTACATATTGTTCAAAAAAAAAATATGTATCCTCCAAAATGGCGCCTGGGCGCCATTTTGGAAGATTTTTTTAAATCGAGTGGGGGGTCGAAAGATACCTCGATTGAAAGGTGTTTCGATTCTCTATACAACCTCAGAATCTCAGACGAAAATATTCATCCAAAGCAAAATGGCGGATGATAACGTTTGAAATCTCACACCAGAATTCTTTCGACTAGATGGCTATTAAAGTGCTCGCATGTGATCTTCAAATCTCTATTGGCGTATAGAAGAGTTCTCTTTCTATGAAGATATCAATAGGAAGCCATTTTAAAGAGAATAACATGGTAGTCAATTATTACCTCTGCTCGATTGTCTTTCCAAATTCTGCCAAATTTTAGAAATATTTATTCAAAATAAAGAACAATGTTTATTCCACGTGACTACCATGTTATTCTCTTCCTATTGATATCTTCATAGATAGAGAACTCTTCTATACACCAATAGAGATTTGAAGATCACATGCGAGCACTTTAATAGCCATCTAGTCGAAAGAATTCTGGTGTGAGATTTCAAACGTTATCATCCGCCATTTTGTTTTGGATGAATATTTTCGTCTGAGATTCTGAGGTTGTATAGAGAATCGAAAGACCTTTCAATCGAGGTATCTTTCGACCCCCCACTCCATTCAAAAAAATCTTCCAAAATGGCGCCCAGGCGCCATTTTGGAGGATACATATTTTTTTTTGAACAATATGTAGCACTGAAACTACCATTGAAGCAAAAAAAAAAATTGAAAAAAAAATCCCATCCGTTCAATAGTTAATCAGGGGGGGTGGGTGACTTTATGGACACAGTGTATATCTGAGAATATTCCTTTTCAATACTCTCACCCAATCAAGTGGTTCAAACATGGACGATGGAAAATTGTTATTTTCATAGACCTGAATCGCAGATTCGTGATTAGGTTTTCTCAATTCAGAATTTCTTTCCACGTCCTGTATGATGAACATCAATTCATCATGCATCCAAAAACATTTAAGTTTTGATGTCAAATAAATGTCAAGATCTTGGAAGAACAGGAACTTTTAGACAAATTGCCTTTGAATAACGTTATACAAATTATTTTGAATGTTATTCTTCCTTCTTCCATCATTTTTTCCACTTCAAAGATTGAAACTAGTTGTGTGATATAAATTTTCAGGAAACATTGAAGTTTTCTTACTTACCTATCCACGGTGAAAGTTTAGAGATTGAAACTAGTCGTGTGATATGAATTTTCAGAAAACATCAAAGTGTTCCCATTTACCTATCCATGGTGAAAGTGAACTCAATGTCCGTTCCCTTCAGCTGCTGTGATTATTTTTTATCCATAGATGTGGGAAAATCACAAGAAAACGAGCGAGAAAATCATATTTCTAGTCAATTTCCATATTGAAAATGTATCATTGAAATACATCGTGATAAATGACTTGTCCAATGATAGAAAAAGACGGTCAGATAGTTCTAAGAAAAAGAGAAAAAGAAGGTGAAATTCAGAACATCTTCGTGAAATATCTCGATAGATAGTGGTTAGTTCACATTTTCATCATCAAATTCGTATTTCTGAGACAAGAATACGTGAGAATAAAAGAAAGTTTCGGAAAAATACCTATCGCTAAATCACCATCTAATTAATCCGGGCATAGACAGAAATATACAGAATGTGGGTCCGATGAGAATCTATCAAATGTGGGCATTGTGAGAATATATTGAATGTAGTTCCGATGAGAATCAATTCGATTTAGGCAAAGTGAGGATATACTGAATGTTAGCCTGATGATATAGTCTATTGAATGTGATAAAAAAAAACAAAAAATGATATTTCTTCCATTTTTTTTCAGGCAATTGGACACGTCAGTGGTTGCCACATCAATCCAGCTATAACAGTCAGCTTCTTCGTCACAGGAAACATCAAACTGCTGCGAGCAATTTTCTTCATCGTTGTCCAATGTGTGGGAGCCATAGGAGGATCAGCTTTGTTGAAGGTATGATATGAGAATTTCGATAACCCACTGATTATCGTATGATATGAATTCACGTTATGAACCTAGTACAATATTTCACCTACTATACGCCAAATATTCATTCAAAAACAGTTGATATTGATACAACTGTCAGCAGGAATTTTTTAAATTCCTAGAGTAGTTTTCATTAGTCATTTGATGAAAAGTCATTTTTCTACTCACATAACTGAAATGGCATTTAGCGTACGAATATGTACCACGCTAAATTATCGATTAATCACGGATTGTCGATCTGTGTTTTATTCAAAATAATAAACACGTTACCATGGCAACACGATTTCTTAAACGCATTACCACCGAACATAAACGTTTATGTTCGGTGGCATTACTATGGCAACGCAGTTCATTCAACACAGCTTCAGTAATTTGAGAAATGTCTGGCCTGTCAATTTTATCAACTGTCAACTGTTATTTTCGAATTTTGTATCAGGATTATTCAAACAATATTCGTTTGTATCAGCATTCATCATTAAAAATATATGCGAAAAGTAGACGAAGAGAATGTTCTGGTACTTGCATATATCTCCAGGAAGTGTAAAAATGAAGCATCCATCTTTGAGAACAATTTATTCATTCACTTATGCGTGTCTCGCTGGTTGCATGCAGTTGCATGTATTATGTTCTCAATTCCTTTTGAATTATTTTGTAGGTTAGCAGGAATTGCAGGTATGTTAATGTAATTTTTGGAGTTCGAAGAAAAATCATAGTATCTAACGCGTCTATAAACTCTTCTAGACACTCGTTTATTAAACACTCGCTCCGCTCTGCTCCGCTCGTGCCTAAACTACTCGTTACTAAAAGGACGTTTATAACACTTGTTACATAATATACTATAATGTACCAACGACGAAAAACTGTCTATTCAAGTCGAGTCTGCAAATTGATAGTCAAAGCCTTAGCCGAGGCTAGCAATCAGGTGATACAATAGACAGTTTTTAGCCGAGGTGCATATTAAATTTTTTCGTAGACTACAAACACTTAAATCCACATCACGGTCTTATTCATACGTGAAATTATCGGATGTGGTGAATAATCAATTTGATAACAGCAAATGACAGTTGTTGTCAACTCTCCGCGCGGACCAGGGTTGCCAGTTAGCTTCCTATTCCATCAGTGAATACCTTGTCGAAAATTCAGATCTATTTCATGCGATACGATATCCAAGAAATGATGATGAAATAAACCTATGACGTCAAAACGTTATGTACTTGTATAGTAAACGGAAAAGAACAAAATAGAAACAAAACCTATCAAACATTCCAAAGAAAGAAGACCATATTCCTAATTTTCAATTTGAAAATACTCATGCACAAATATAAAAAAATACAGTAACATATTGGTACTTATGAGATTTGAGTATATAAAAAAACAGAAACGAATAGTAAAAATGAACAACAAAAATACGAGACAAATGAAAAAATTCAACGTAGGAAACAAACTGTTATAATAGAGGTATATAAAAATTGAATTTGATCTGAATCGGAATAAGAACGCCCAATATATTAGCTATTCATATTTCTCTTGGAAATTTTCCAGTTCTGGAAAATTCATTTTTGTTTCACTTTTCATGAAAAAACCCCCGTATCTAACAAAATCAGTGGGTTAGGATCTCTAAATTTGCTTATTTGCTGGAGCGAGAAATATAAAAATTATATACTCAAATTAATTCTCCAGAACTGAAAATTCTCCAGGAAGAATATTAATAGTCAGTGAATCAGATCTCCTGTTTTCGAATCCGAAGTGATTTTCAACCTATCTTGGCTCTTGATAGAATTTTCTCGACATGTGTGCTCCAAAATATTCGGTTTTTTGTTCGAAAATTAGAACATAAAATGTGATTTTTTGTAGAGGTTGACGAAAAAATATTCCAATAATTCATAATACATAATATGAATGTAATGAGAGTAGTGACGATTTTGATAATACACCGCCAGAGATGGAGAAAGCTGCAAAAGTTAGATTTGTTGCTGGAAATTCAAAGAAAAAAGTATGAATTGGCCTACAAAAAATTATTTATGGGATGTAGAAAAAATACAAAACTAATCTTTTTCGGAAAGTGTACTTTTATGGTATACTTTGAGAATCTAGGAAAAGCGTCAACTTTTTGGTCAATTTTGCGAAGAACCACATTATAAAATGAATAATAATTTACATTACTTGTATTCCTTGAATTTGTGCAGTTGTTGAAGAAGTAAAGTGTGCAACATGTGGGAAACAGTTGATCTTTCTCCAGATGTTGCACAATATACTAGTATCACACATAGTGCAGAAAATTTGTTGAGTTTCTGAAGAGTATACTGACATTGGAATATTTGATAAAAAATAATGTTTCTTCATGTTAACTATTGAGATTTTTCTCACGCTAGTAGTAACAATACTGTACTCAACCGTACTCAACACGTGCCTAGAATAACTTCTCCGCACGCGATTGCTGGCAATGCTGGCCGAACTCCGCGAAGCGTCGTTCGGTCATCTGCAATCTCGTGCGGAAAAGTCACTTTCCGCACTTGTTAGGTAAAACTTATACTATTGTGGAAATCTAATCGTTTGTGAAGGTTTTTACAATTAGGTACTATGGATTTTCTTCAAACTAACCCCCTGAATCACACTGAATTTAGGCATTATGAAAACTTATACAGGGTAATTATAGCAAAAGCCAAGTGATTGTACCATGAAGAGTAAGCGCCAAAGCATACAACAAGTTTATACGAACTTTCTTCATTATTTCTGCGAATAGGATACTATCCCCTATCAAATCTACCCGAATGACATGCGAGACACCCTGTATATAATCATCTTGTGAATTCACCTTCATTTTCAACTGGAATTGAACCATGTTGATGCATTCTGTTCAACAAAATATTTCGTTAACCCATTGGGAATTATCGTGTTTTACACTTAAATGAAAAAACTTCACAAACGATAAGATTTCCACAAAATTCTCAAACACATGACATGTTTACAGTAGCTTCGTCAGGTAATATAGGTACTGGTACAATGAAATCGTTCGTAAATTTTTCACATTTGCGATGGATTTCCATTAAATAACGGCCGAGTCAATTCTAAATTTCACACTTAACATTATGATTCTCATCAAATTTGATTGGAACACTCAAACACAAATTGAAATTATCCATAATAACCATATAAAGAGTGTCATTTCGATATATTCATAAGTAATTCTTCAATCATTAAATTATCTGAGCTAGGTAAGTAATTTACATCCTGTATATTTGAACAATCAGACATAATATTGATTTATACTACGATCATAAAAGTATTAGGCTCCTCTATATCACTCAACCCTGTTCTACTTAACATGCAAGCAATCACATAAAACAATATTTCAAGTCTAATCAAGGTCATTGTCTCAAATGTGGAACGTGTGAAGAAGGATTAGTGAAATAGACCAGATATTCAGTTTAGTTTTTTCGATATATTCATTTTCGAGGTCAAAGATTACGAAATGTAATTGGATATGATTGATTTTATACGATGACCAGAAGAACTGTCGAAACTTTTTGTACAATCTAGATAGGACGGTGTAGGTACGTATTTTTCTAAAGAACTGTCAATTGGAATAATCATACGCAATAATTTTATCCTAAAAGGTAGGTATTGGTGTGGTTTCAGGTACCTACCGGTCAAAGTGTGCCGTGTAAATTGAAGAGCAGTTCTTATAGCATTTTGTCTCATCTTTCTGAATCTGATGGGATATTTCGAGAAAAGTGGTCACGAAGTGAACTTTTTTGACATAGCAATGAAACATGAAATTTTCCCAAGTCCGGACCTGGATATTTTTTTTCATAATATGAAATCTTATATAGTTTGAGTAGAGATACGTCGCTGCCTAATTTCAGCAGATTACGATGAATCATTTCTGTAATATCGGCCATCAAAGTTGCATAACAATTTCACAAAATACGTTATGGAGGGTCAAAATTGTTTTTCATATACAGGGTGTCAATTTGAAAACTTCCCACCCTTAATATCTCCCTCCAAGTCGATAATATGGAAAAACGAAAAGACAGGTCGATTTTATTTTCGAGGGGGACATGGTTCTAAAATATTTTCAGCCCCGCGGCGTTGCCGCTTCTAACGAAAAGAAGTAACAACTTTGTTATTTCAAATGGAACACCCTGTATTTTATTGCATTTTTAGATTCTCACTGAAAAGCTGATTTCATCAATGCATCACACTTGGGGTCTAGCAGGAATGATTACAGAGATATAGGGTGTTCAAAATCGAGATTTTACAACTTTAGGATTTTTTTGAGTCGAAACTATTCATTATTGGTCAAAACGGCTTTCATGTCCCTATCTCAACTTTTGATTTACTATCTACTGACATTTATTTAAAACAAATACAGGGTGATCAAAAGTCTGAATCTTGAACCACCCTGTATTTGTATCAAATAAATGTCAGTAGATAGTAAATCAAAAGTTGAGATAGGGACATAAAAGCCGTTTTGACCAATAATGAATAGTTTTGACTCAAAAAAATCCTAAAGTTGTAAAATCTCGATTTTGAACACCCTCTATATCTCTGTAATCATTCCTGCTAGACCCCAAGTGTGATACATTGATGAAATCAGCTTTTCAGTGAGAATCTAAAAATGCAATAAAATACAGGGTGTTCCATTTGAAATAACAAAGTTGTTGCTTCTTTTCGTTAGAAGCGGCAACGCCGCGGGGCTGAAAATATTTTAGAATCATGTCCCCCTCGAAAATAAAATCGACCTGTCTTTTCGTTTTTCCATATTATCGACTTGGAGGGAGATATTGAGGGTGGGAAGTTTTCAAATTGACACCCTGTATATACACCACTACGTTGATGCGCTACCACCCCTCAGACCCAATACTTCAGTGGACCCAAAATGAAGATGACCAGATTGTGAATTTGTTTTTGGCTATCAAATTGAGTCTAAATGCCGACAAGACGCATAATATGAACTTTACTTTGCAAACCTCTTCATCAAACCTAGAAAGTCAGGCAGCGGTTAAATTTTTGAAGGTTTACTTGGATCCAGGACTGACTTGGAACGTTCATATCAATTATCTAAGCTCCAAGCTGTCCAGAATAACTTTCCTAATTAGAAGCCTCTCAAAAAATGTATCCAGGGACACCCTACTGTCGGCTTACCATGGATACTTTAATTCCAATTTATCCTATGCAATTCTGAACTGGGGTCATTCCCCCAATACTGTTCAAATCTTTAAATTACAGAGACGCTGTGTTAGAATTATCGCAGGTCTAAAATATCGGGATTGTTGTAGAAATAGTTTCGCAGAACTGAGACTCCTTACACAGGAAAAGAGATAATTTAGTCCTGAGCTACCACAGGTTAGAACGTACAAGAAGGGGTGCCGATTACTACGGCAAAAAAATGTATAATGCTCTTCCTATAGAGATGAAAAAACCTAGATTTCAACTATTTCAAATCCAAAGTCAGAACGTATCTTTTTAAAAATGCCTTCTATTCCATCGAGGAGTATCTAGAAAGTGATTTTAATATGTGAATGTATTCGACTCTATTTTATGATGTTGTTTCACTATGTATTGCTACCATTAGTATTACCTAATAAGCTTTGTCCTACTATTTGTTATTTTTTACTATTTTATAGCTTTGTCCTACTATTTGTTATTTTTTACTATTTTATAGCCATTGTAACATTTTTTCTCTCTCTTTTTTTATATATCTGATCTGCAAAAGCACTTTAGTGTAATACTTTGCCAATAAATAAACTAAATGAGCAAAGCTAAGGTTAGTCTAGTTCATTGTACCAGTATATCACCTGACGAAGCTACTGTGTTAGCGAAACATGTCGTGTGTTTGTGAATTTTGTGGAAATCTCATCGTTTGTCAAGTTTTTACATTTGATCACATTCTGTCGATTTTGTTTCAGTTGATCACCCCCGAAGAGAAATCCGGCAATTTGGGACTGACAGTCGTCAGCGAGAACGTCACCCCAGTGCAGGCCATGCTGATCGAAGCCCTCTTGACGTTCCTGCTCGTGTTCCTAGTCCAGAGCGTTTGCGACTCACGCCGAGAAGACATCCATGGATCTGCACCGCTAGCCATCGGCTTGGCTGTGACAGCCGCCCATTTGACAGGTGTAAGTACGAACTACTGAAAACTTGCCCAGATAGCACAAAATATTCTTAGGTTATATTTAGAATATTCCTCAAGAATATGCAATTATTCTATGAATATACACATAAAAATATAATCATCCCAAGAATATTCTCAATTTATATAGAAAGGTGACACTTTTACAGATTTCAAGAATATTCTTAGAATAGTGACGAAAATATCCCCTGAATATCTATAGGTTAACCTATCAAGAAATGAACCGAAATATATTCCTCGACTATACAGGGTGGCATTGTAATAAGTGCAAATATTTCACTGAGAAAGCTCGACGTGTACTATCGAATGGCACTAATAAAAACATTTAGAGATCAAGATGAAATTTGATTTCAGACCTCCTTTTCCACCCACGATTCTACACTGTGGCAAATCTGACGTCACCTCTGTTCACATTTCCATGCGGTGGGCACAATCACGCTGAGAGATTGTAGATTGTAGATGGGTCGTATAGGCTGGGAGACCTCTCGATCACTGCGACCTAGAAGATCTATTGTGATTACCCCTATCTAGTTTTGATCCTCTAACCCTGGACTTCTGATGAAGCCTACGATTTTCCTGACGGTTGACTATACCACACTTCAGCAGGGGTGAGATAGACCTGTTCTAGGTGGTTCAGCCTTTGGCGGACTAATACTTCACATGAGCAAAGTATGTGTTCCGCGGTTTCGGTCGCATTGTTTCAAAAGCGGCAAGTGTCAGTCTCCGCCAGGCCCATCTTTTTGAGGTGGTACCTCAGAGGGCCGTGACCTGTGAGGAAGCCTATGATAAGCTTTAGCTCTGGTTTGCTGAGGCTGAGTAGCTCTTTGGCTCGGTTCTGCGAATGGTTGATGAACCTTTTCGCTTGTCGTTGACCTGGAGTTGCTCTCGCGGAGTTCAATCATTTAAATTGATCCAAAGTGGCGTACTTGATTTTTTCTCGTACTTTGTTCAATTTTTGGAATGATATTTCTCGTTAATTGAAAGAATTGGAAAAAATCTGATATCATGGGAATATTTCTTTTAGACTGTATCATATTAATGTGCTGAATATGTGCACTTATTTCAAAAACACATTGTATATTTCTGGATCAAATCTACACCTTTTTGAATTTCAGTTCAAAAATGTTCAATTGTATTTCCAAATTGTCATTTTAATTCCAAAAACCATCAATTGTATTTCAAATTCATCAAATTGATTTCAAAACCTATCACATCGAATTCTAAAATGGTCATTTGTATTTCAAAAAATATAAAATGTTGAATTTCAAATCTGAGAACTCACCGGCAAAGGTTAAATAGGCGTTATTGGAACGCTTCTGGCTTCTGGTTTATGTCATTGTGGCATCATTCATAGAAATAAATGATTCGTTTTAAAATTGAAATGATGGATTTTGAAATTGAAATGGAATATTTTAAAATTAAAATGAAATATTTTGGAATCAAAATGACTTATTTGAAATACAATTGATCCTTTTTGAAATTGACGCCCATTGAACTGAAATTGAAAAAGGTGTAGTACCTATAAATGCTTCATACAAATATGATGAAAATATTATTGAGTTATCTTGAAAATGTTAACAGAATAATTTCAGATTAAACTCACAAAACATGTTCACGTTAACCTCTAGAAAGGATAATAGAAAATCACAAAAACAACATGCATTTTGAAGACTTTATTACAAATAAATCGTATCAGCAGCTGCACCACTGAAAACTTTACGTGATTTCGGTGATTCCTAAGTGATAGCCCCTTTTCGACTTCTTTTCACTGCATTGCATCTGTAAATAATATTCAATAACATATCTGTAAACACCATAAACACACACACTTTCAACAACTATAGCTATTGAAGCTCAGCATGAAAGTCAAATCATGTAGACAGGTAACTATGTTTTCAACTTTAGATTTGCTTTTCATACTGCAAGCACCTTCAAGCGAATGAAAATTAAATGAAAACCATCCTACCCTTCACGCCGCTGACACGCACATAACACCATATTGTTACAAGTCGAGATCGAAGTTCATAATCAGTTTATAGATATGGTGTCTGCAATCTGCAATGATATTTCACTGCACTACTGTCAAAGATCTCGAACAAAGTCTGGATGAACTGGAAGACCTGAACCTGACTGGTGTTGACGTTGACGCCATCTCCTTACTTCCTTCATCATCCTTTTCACGCTTGCGATCTACGTTCTACTATCGAGAATGTTTATCAATTATTCTGAAAGATTATTTCTGAATTATTTTGAAAATATTCCAACTTGTCAAACTTCATGTGGTCAATCCTGGTCAATCTAAATATTCAACACAATTTATCCTGAATGAATATGTCATGTATAATATTGCCACAATATTTTTTTCAATATGTTATGAAGTTATCCAAACTGATTATACATAAATTGATATTGAAATATATTTTCAGGATATATCATTCCTGAATTATTCTGAAAATATTTAGATATTCCCGAAATATATACGAATCAATCTGGGAAAATATCTATGGGATATTCGCTTGGAAGGTTCTCTGAGAATTTTAAGAACAATTTGTGCTATCTGGAAGTGTGCCTGGAACATCCCATTACGCCCTTTGAAGAGTGTATAACAACGGGTGCCAGGTTGAAGCTGAAATTATGAAAAAAATGATTATCTCTGAGAATTTGGTTAAATGATGAGCATGCGCAAATATAGTGATCATCACAGACATGTGTTATCGTCGTAGACAATGGCGTTTACCAGCTTTTGAATCAGAGGAGCTAGTATGTGTTTTATAATTTCTGTTGTTTTTCTTCACGTTTCGCCGACAATTTTTTTTTGACAAGAGATTGGTAAAATTTCATCGTCATATAAGTGTGATGGTAGAAATGAACAATGAACTATTAGTGAATCCCTTAGTAGTCGTTCAAACGGTTAATGTTGAGGTAGATTGATTTTTTACATTTAATTTCGTAGTAGTCAATGCCGCTGAAATATCACCAAAATAAATTGAGTGAATATGCAAGGGTTCTGATACAACAAACATACATCTATTACATTGCGACTGCTGGGTGCTGAGAAGCCGAAGACTTGAACACATATGTAACTAGTAACACTAGCATAGAAACTGTCTCAGCTAACCTCTAGCAAGATGAATAATAAAAGTCATCTCCACTTTTTTATTACTAATGTAATCAATCAAAGGAACATATTTCGGACTTATAGAAGTCCATCTTCAGCTGTATGTAGAAGTTACTACAAGCAAAGGCATGTGAAAATATATACATAAATAAAAGTTGACTAACATGGAGGTGGAACCGTTTTTCAATGATGGGTACTTTCAATTCCGAAACCTGTCTACTTGATCGAATTATTTATCTCGTGGAGCGCACGATAGGGAATTCCTATGATGTTGGACTTCTACGAGAGATAATTAACAAACTTTATACGAAGCTGAAACATTCTAGGCCTATATGATATGAGTAAAGCTTTTTCAAAAATTCACCATATCACCACACGTATCTATGAATTTTCTTTTTCCTGTTTCTCGAAATCTCTGTATTATTCGTATCACAGTAATCTGGCTACTAAAAAACCTTCATGACTTCAATCCTCAGAATGAAGAATAACAGTTTGATCTGGGGAGTCGTTAATCAATATGATTCTAGTAATTCCCAAAGTATAAAAACTTTCATCTGTATAAATACACACATGCCAGTACTTTTTCTCATTCGACTCTATACAGCTACTGGTCATCCACCTTACGAGTGGCTTTGTGTTCATGGCTTTGTAACTTGACCCCATACGCCACGTTAGGAGCAAAACTGATTCGTACGGAACCATCTCCGGCTGAGGGTTCGCAAAGTTGATTGAATAAATGAAAGTAAAAGAAACGAAATAATTAGTCTGACATTTTTCAGATACAATACACTGGATCAAGCATAAACCCTGCAAGGACTTTCGGACCTGCCGTAATTGGAAATTCATGGGAACATCATTGGGTAAGCCTACGATAATAATATACAATATTCAGCACATGTTCTTGACAAAAGACATTTCGTTATGTCACCAATTCCCGATCGAATTAGATAGATATTGTTCGACATGAAGAAAATACATCACTTTTATTCAGGTATAGATATCAGGTTACATTGTTTACTTATATAACATGTCAAGTAAAATAATTGGAGAATAACATCGTGAGATTCCGAGAAACCTGACTGGCTGCACTGTACCGATTGTCGAGTTTCTAGATTTTTCATTTCGTATTTTTCCAAATCATTACTACACCTTCTTCAATTTTTGTTCAAAAATGGTCAATGGGCTTACCTATATCACAAAAAAAAATTATTTCATAATTCGATAGAACTCACCCAAACTAGCTCACCACCGAAAACCGTTTCTTGCTGTGAGCTCCCTACGTTTTATAAAAAATTATTGAAATCCCCGATTTTTCGGACCTCTGAAAACGAGGCGATGATGTGACGTCAAAACCCTAATACTGAAATAAGACTATTCCAGACAGAGATGAATGATACATGATTTCTGACAGAGTGAATTAGCGCAAGATCACAGTTGAAAGAATAAATATACCATTTGCCTCAGTCTCCGTCGGGCGTTTGGTATTTTCTTTTAACTATGGCGATATGAGGTTTCTACGTCATAAGAGGATCCGTTTTCAGAAGGCACTATTATTTATGTCCAGAAATAAAACATTCCAGTTGATTTTTCGATCGAATTATGTCGTCAATTATTATTTATGTATAGAAGGATCATTTTAAACATGGTTTGAGTTAAAAGTTCTACTGAGGTGTACACGCCCATTGTATTTCCAAATTGTCAGTTGGATTTCAAAAAGCATCATTCGTATTTCAAATTGGTCAACTCAATTTCGAAAAGTATCAATAGTATTTAAAAATTATCAATTCAATTTCATTATGCTTCAATTTTATTTCAAATTAGTCATTTTACTTCAAAAAAAACATCAATTGTATATAAAATTTATGAAATCAATTTCAGAAACTAACACTTCAAATGCCAAAATGGCCATTTGTATTTCACAGAATATAAAATGTATTTCATAAATCTGAAAACGCACCGACGAAGGTTAGATAGGCGTTATTGGAACGCTTCTGGCTTCTGGTTTATGCCATTGTGGCACCATCCATAGAAATGATTTGTTTTGAAAATGAAATGATGGATTTTGAAATTGAAATGGAATATTTCGAAATTAATATGACTAATTTGAAATACAATTGACGCATTTGGAAATTGAATTGATAATTTTGAAATACATTTGATTATTTTTGAAATTGAATTGAGTTATTTGTAATACAATTGATACTTTTTGAAATCAACTCGCTTTGTGAACTAAAATTGGAAAAGGTGTAGAAAAAAAATCTCAGAAAACAATCATTTTACTTGATTTTTTGGAATTTTCTCTCCTCGTTTCTATAAAATAAAAATATGCGTATTATTTCAGTATATTTGTAGTGGGACAAATCAGAAAACGAATATTTCAATTATGTTCGAATTGGAACTGAACTACACCTTTTCCAATTTTAGCTAGAAAATATTCAATTGTATTTCCAAATTGTCATATGGATTTTTCAAAAACTAACTCTCCAAATTCCAAAATAGTCATTTGTATTTCCAAGTATGTCAAATGAATTTCGTAATGCATCATTCGAATTTTAAAACTGAAGAAGCAAGCAGGCAAAGGTTGGTTGAGTGTTCATCATCATCATCAATTGAACGGTATAAATTATTAGTTTTGAAATTGAAATGATGGATTTTGAAATTGAAATGGAATTTTATGAATTCAAAGTGACTAATTTGAGATACAATTGATGCATTTTGGAATTGAATTGATAAATTTGAAATACATTTAATAATTTTTGAAAATGAAATAACTGATTTGAAATAGAAATGACGCATTTTGAAATTGAATTGATAATTTTGTAATACATTCGGGTCGATTCTGTTCGGATCTTGTTATAACATTGCTAAGATAATAATATTGTTATGATCATAACATATAACAATATTGCTATGAAGTCCTGTATTCTGTTTGCAGAGTAACTGCAAGACTGGTTATAATTTCAAGTGATAGCAATATTGTTGAAAAATTCTCAAATTTTTGAGCTGACAACACTGTTTTCAACTCATTGTTTGAGTGTTAGGTATCGATTTTGCCGTTATTTCATGAAGAAGAAGAGTTCATGATTATCTAACCTCTCAAATTAGTCAGTCCTGCACTGATATTTTTTGTATTTGCTGAATCTGGTCGTCGTTGTGCGACTGGTGCAAGTAATCAATCATGTTCCCGAGATGAGAAAACAACTAAAAAACGGATGAAACAAATCGTGATTTTTTTTTAATATTCTAGCAAAATAGCTTGATAAACTATCCATCAGGCAACTGAAATTTCTCTGATATGCCGAAATTGTAGTCTCATATTTCCTCTCCAAATTGGAACTTCAAGAAAAGGTTTTCAAGTAGTTGGTCACAATAGTGCACCTATCTTATATGTTTGTAATCACCATTCTAAGTTTTTCAATAATTCTTCTACGAATTGAAACTTTGAGGAAAGGTTTTCGAGTAGTCAGTGACACAACTGAACTCTCATATATTTTTAATCCACTATTTTCTGAATGTTCATACAGTTGGAAGAATTTGTAGTGCAAAAACAAAGAATCCACTGTCTTGTTATAATATAATATATGCAAGCACAAAATTGATGTTGCCAAGATAGCAAGACAGCTGACCAGATGTCATTGAAATTGACAGATCATAATGCCAAAAATCGATGATTAGAACTCTACTTTTTCGAATCTTGCTATGATAGCAATATCTTCTCTACAACCATATTGCTACTTGCAAACAGAATCGACCCGAATATTTGACACTTTTTGAAATTTAAATGGCTGGTTTGAAATACAATTGATACTTTGTGAAATCAACTTGACGTTTTTTGGACCAAAATTGGATAAGGTGTAGTTTCGAGATTGTTTTTTTTTTAGGTTTATTGGGTAGGACCAATCCTTGGTGGGATCGTAGCTGGCCTTGTATACAAGCTGTTCTTCAGGGTACGCAAAGAAGAATCCGAATCATATAATTTTTAGCTATAATAATGTGAGATTAGTTTGAGGATCAATATAACTTTCGACTCATGGGCAAACTACAAAGACTCAACGAGTATTGTGTTGATCCAATGAAAAAATTACACTTATACCAAAATGTCAATGGAATCAACTTATTTGCCCATCAATCAATATTGTTATCCACGACTATTACTGTTTAATTGAAGTTATTTCTCTCGACTTCCGATGAAGTGATTTTGTTTTTATGTTGTTCGTGTATGTGTTGTGTTGAATAACTAGCTTCAAATATTTGTAATACTTATAGAAATATTAACCCGAATTGAAGAGGAAATATACTTAGTATTGTTATCAGCTCTTTGTTTGATTTAGTACGCACTAAACTGTCTATTACCAGATGGTTTTTCTGAAGTACCATGTATACAGTGTGATCAAGACAAGGTGACAAAAAAGTTGCACATTCAGAGGATCATTCCAACATACTTCAGAAATTTTCGATTTCGGATTTTGTTAATAGTTTTTTCTACAAGCGTGCGTGATTCACCCTATACCCGCACGCAATTTAGTTTGGAAAGTGTCATTTTCCCGCAACACTGCGGGAAAATTTTCCCACACTAGTGCGGGAAATTTTTTCCCGCACTACTGCGGGAAAAGAAAGATATGATAAAATCGCTAGTAATATAAGTGGTTGGTGATGGAATATAAAAGTTTAAGTTTGTTTGTTGCAGTATTAAGTATGTATGTTCAGAATCATTCATCAAATTGCACAATTTATTGTAAAAATTAAGAAATATTGGGAAATACAAATTGATTATTATAAAAATCCCCCTATAGATTTGGATTGATCTGACGGGAAACGTCAATTTGTCATGCCAATCAAACCTCAAATAAGTTTGAAATTGTCGAAGTGACAGACACAGCGTTACTGTCATTTTCGATTCAGTGAAATTTCCACAATGTGATCAAAAACTTCCAGCTATAGGGATTTGATACAGATGCGTTATCACCAACGAAATCTTAAGAAAGGTATGAGATGCTATACACGCGTTTTATTGAATGGTCAAACAATAAAGAAATGAAAAAACCGAATGAAGAATAGGTATTTTTGGCTCATTTCATAGAAGTGTCTGGAACCTAGAGACCAAACTCCTAATGGGCCTGCTGGCTTCCGCAATGAACCAACATAATGCGTCAAACTGTAAGTTCACAATAGCTATTACTAATAATTAATAGATAGAGAATATATATCTCTTGTTAGTTGTTCCTATTTGCTTGAATAATTAATTGAACGATTCAATCAATTTCCTACGCTTGTAGAAAAAATATTGTTCCTAACTCTTGCGGAAAATGTCTTTCCCGCACTCGACTGCTTGCCCGAACACCGCTTCGCGTCGTTCGTGTCAACGGCAGTCACGTGCGGGAAAGAATCACTTTCCGCACTTGTTAGGAAAATTACTATAACGCACGTGTTAGCTAATTTTTCAATACTCTTTTATTAGCTTCACCTGTATCATATACCGGGTGTCAACGAATCTATTAGACAAGTCATAACTTCTAGACCATTAGGCGTATCGAAATGAGATTTGGTATAGGTAAATGGTATGTGAAGGGGAGAGTTTCCACACATTTTTCACTTTCCAGTCACTTCCGGTTTCACCGGAAATACCTCCGGTTCTAAATTTTTAAATGGAACACTCTGTATATTCTAACATTTTTGGGTTTCTGAGACAATTCTAGATCAGAATGTAACATTTTCGAAAGTTTTTATGCCGACTTAATTTTTTCGAAGTCACTTTTGAAATTACATCTAGGTGGCCATGATTTGAAGTAAACCAATCATAATTTAAGGACCTCAGGTGATATCAGAAAATTACAATCGCGAAGTTTTAGTGACAAGTATGATAGATATGAATAAGACAAGTTGGCAAAATTACATTTTCGTGCCTAACTATTATTTTTCAAATGGCGACCATTTTTTGACAAGCACTTTCCGAAAAAAGGATATTTTGACGAATCTAACGATACTAATTTATTTGCGATTGGATTACAAATAAGAACAAAAATTGAATATTACTGACGAAAATACTTCATAATAATTCATTTACTTTCGTCAAGTGTGCCATGGATAATAATTCATTTACTTTTGTAAGCACTTCCCGAAAAATAGTAGATTGTTTTATTAGGATCAAAAGTGACACTTTGTTTGACAAGCGAATTTTGCATTTGCGAGGCGGAGCGTCACTTTTGATCCGAATGAAACATGCTATTTTTTCTGCAACCGAAACAATGAACTCAAATAAACATGTGAAGTAACCACCAATGCCGTGCCATATGTATGCAATGCAACAAATATTGACAAATAATCCAGGTGGTGAGAATATTCTACCTGCATTAACAGCAGGTTGGGTTTTCTAGGATGTTCGAATTGTAGTGTGAAAATAAATACAACCACTCTGACATATTTGTGTATGGACCAGGTGCTCTAATGGCAAATACCGTGCCAGTGCCAGCTATAGGAACAAGACGTGGAAGATGTTAGGTTAGTGAGCATATCAACAATGATAATAGTGATTAATTATTCCTCTCCATACTACACTGTGTTTAACTTGATGATCAAAATGAAGTTGAACAATATAGTTGTTTGAGACAAAAAAACTATTGCTTGCCGTGATTATTCAAAAACAAGTTATCCATCCCGAGAATAACGAATGAAATACAGATCAAGCAAGTATTTGAATCTTGAAGGCTTCCCTGATCAAAACAAAAATACTTAACTGAGATGTTTATAATTCCAATACTAAACTATAATGAAGGTGTATTTATATCTCCAGCATGGGTATGAAACGCCAAATCTGCTGAAATCGGAAACAAATCAGGTATGCGTCTCAACTCAAATAACCAACCGTCAAAATGTTGTTTATTCTTGATGTCGTCCAGTAGATCCTTTTTAGTTCCTAGGAGCTTAAGTTCAACTTTAGCTCCTAGGAACTAAAATTCAACTTTAGCTCCTAGGAACTAAATATGTTGCCTAGCAACATACCTATTTTTGTGTCAGTAATAGAAACGTCAATTTAAGAGCTAATTTTGGTATCAAAATGGACGACTTTTGTGTCGGTTGCAGAAAAAGGATATTTTGACGAATCTAATGATACTAATTTATTTGCGATTGGACCAACAAATTTAACAAAATTAATAATAACTTCAGCGATTCACTTAAATTTTTTTCAATTTCCTATTTTCTTAAGATTTTTACTATAGTAAATTTTCAAAGTGCATTCCTCCTTGCTCAACACATTTCAGCTCGTTCAATTGTCTCAACACGTTTCGTAAAATTTGTGGCGTTATACTCCGAAATGCCTGTAGAATCTTTTTCTCCTAAGATTTCGAGAGTGGCTGGGGCTGTTGCATCCGGTGAGCAGGCAGGCCACCGTACTGGTCCATTGGTTGCAATAACTTGATTATTGAAATGCTCTATTACATACAACTCAGCAGCATTCCTTGAATTTCTGTGACATTCTCCAAACAATAACAACATATCCACTTCTTCACTTTGAGTATACATTATTTTGACGGAAAATTAAACTAAAATTCAACGAAAATCAAGAAAATTTTACCTTCTGCTCTTGAAGCTTATGTCACTGTCATAACCTAAGTGAGTGTTTTGTTCTCTCAAGAAGACTTGATCGAAATAACTGCAAAAGATTATGCATCATGCCTATCCTCGGCACACTTGACAAAAGTAAATAAATTATTATGAAGTATTTTCGTCAGTAATATTTAATTTATGTTCTTATTTGTAATCCAATCGCAAATAAATTAGTATCGTTAGATTCGTAAAAATATCTTTTTTGCGGAAAGTGCTTGTCAAAAAATGGTCGCCATATGAAAAATACTATAATTTTGCCAACTTGTCTGAATCATATCTATCATACTTGTCACTAAAACTTCGCGATGGTAATTTTCTGATATCACCTGAGGTCCTTAGATTAGTTTACTTCCGATCATGGCCACCTAGATGTAATTTCAAAAGTGACTCCGAAAAAATTGAGTAGGCATAAAAACTTTCGAAAATGTCACATTCTGATCTACAATTGTCTCAGAAATCCAAAAATTATACAATATACAGGGTGTTCCATTTGAAAATTTAGAACCGGAGCAATTTCCGGTGAAACCGGAAGTGACCGGGAAGTGGAAAATATGTAAAAACTCTTTTCTCCACATACCATTTACCAATACTAAATCTCATCTTGATACACCTGATGGTCTAGAAGTTATGACGTGTCTAACAGATCCGTTGACACCCGGTATGTATATGTATATATATGTAACCGACTCCTTTGGACTCAATTTTTACCCACTTTACACTTACCGATTGATTTGGAATTTGGCAGGTGTACAAAGTTCGGGTGGCGTTGCATCATGACATTTTTGTTAGACAAAATAATAAAATGGCGGCTGCAAAATGGCGGATGAGTCATGCATTTATGATCCGTTTCTATAGAAAATTGGTATCTGAGGGTATTGGGAGTCGGAACTTATGATTCTTCTGTCAAAATTTGTAAATTCAAGATGGCAGGTCCAATATGGCGGTAGAGTTTTGTTATTATGATCCGAATCTTTTCAACATTTGTATCTGCGTGTTCTCAGGATCAGAGGTTATGATCCTTTCGTCAGAAATTTTAAATTCAAGATGGCTCATCCAATAAGGCGAAAGAGTTTTGTAATTATGAACCGACTCCATTGAAAATTGGTATTTGGAGGTTTTCGAGGTTGGAGATAATTATTCTTTGTGATTTTAATCAGAATCTGTTCAGAATTCGTATCTAGGGATTTTAGGGATCAGAGATTATGATTCTTCTGTCAAAATTTGGAAATACAAGATGGAGGATACAATATGGCTGATGAGTTTTGTAATTATGATCCAATTCTTCTCTAAATTTGTTTTAGAGTGTTTCCGGTGTTGGAGATTATGATTCTATCGTCAAAATGGGGAAATTCAGAATGACGGATCTAATATGGTGAAGTTGTGTGATTATATGATCCGATTTCATTCAAAGTTGGTATCTGGGGGTAATGAGGTCGGAGATTATGACTCTTTCGTCAAAATTGGGTACTAACAAGACATAATCATGAGAACATTTAAAAACACTCATTTTACTTGGTTATTTGGGATTTTCTCTCCTCGTTTCTACAAAATGAAAATATGAGTAGGGCTAGTTGGGGTATTGGTAAACGATTTTTACAAAAAAAACTTTGAAGTCTGTTAAAATGTAAAGTTGAATATTTTTATCTCATAATTTTTTTGGGTGCAGTTTTTTTGGAGTATTGTGTATATATGATTTGCATAGCAAGAA